GTGTGTATTATATTGCTGTAATATTTCCAACTTGAGTTAGTGAGAAGAACTTATTCCAAATAACGCTTTTACAAATGAAAATGTCTAGATTATATAGTGACTGCTGCAAAACTGACATCATTTCTTCATCTGATCATTTATTTCTTTTACTCTTTCTATACATTCAAGTTTTAACATCACTTTTTGTATCCCTAACTTATGTTCTTTCATTTGCACTGTAAACTACACATTAACAGATCATTCACTAAAGAATCTGGGAGATGAAAATATTTTCCCACTTTTACCTTTGAAAAATCAAATCCCACATTTACTGTATTGTAGCAAAACTTCAATTTCGCTCCTGCTTTCAAGCATGGAATAAAAAATAAACAAAATATTCCAACACACAAAAAAGACTACGACAATTGCATTACCACATATTTATTCATCTGTTATTTCTTACTTACATTTCTATTTTGATTGCTCCAATGAGGAGTAGGTGTGGCTTTTACTTTCTCCATGTTATCATCACAGCAATCTGTGAAGTATGGCATAGTGCTATAATTTTATATTATGTATCTTCATCTACCTATTTTCTGTTTTGAGATGAACTAACTTTAAACTGTTAATGATCTTATAGTTATCACAAGCCACACATCCAGGCTCAGACATAATAAACTTCAACTAGTAGAAAAGCGGATGCAGATATTCCAATTTCTTTCTAATTGCCATGTAGAAGACAAATAGGGACGAAGGGAGCAGATAAGGTCAGGTTTCAGGTAGGTAACACTTTCTTGTGATTAATTGTTATACATGGAGTGTGACAATGTGGGTAACATTCAAATGTTTTTTTTTTGATGGACGCAGACTTTTTAAACAGCTTTTTATTTCTATTTATGTATTTATATCTTTTCTGAAATACTCAAGGCAGCTCGCAATCATAAGACAGCAATAAACACAGAAACCAGAAAAATTAAGAACAACAATAACTTCTACTCCTTAAAAAATAGTGGCACCACACAACTTATCAAACATAATGATCCTAACTCCACAGTCGCAGTAAACCTATCTTTGAAACTTTCCAGAAAATCTTCTTAAAAGAAAGCTTTGCATAAAAGAAAGTGAAAAGGAAAAGTACAGATACAATTCTTTGAAGATGTCATGGCCGTCACCAGGAAAGTCATTCTCTTTACTACTAACTTCCTTATGTTTTTCAAAAAATGTCTACGCAAGCTCACAAGATTATAATCAATGCAAAGAAAATGATTTTTAAAAGTCATGGAAACATTTGTAATGTCATTGAAATGCCAATGTACATTGTGGGGTACACCCCTGTTGCGTCAGCTCCACTGGTTGCCAGTCTGCTACCAAGCAAAATTCAACGTGCTGGCTTTAGACTATAAAGCCCTAAACGGTTCTGGACCAGCTTACCTATCCGAACGTATATCTCGCTATGAACCATGTCAAGATTAGGATCCTCTGGGGAGGCCCTGCTCTCGGTCTTACCATCCTCGCAGGTGCGGTTGTTGGGGAAGAGAGACAGGGCCTTCTCAGAGATGGCCTCTCGGTTGTGGAACTCCCTCCCTAGTGACATAAGATTAGCCCCCTCCCTCCTGACCTTCAGGAAAAAACTGAAAACTTGGATTTGGGACCATGCGTTTGGATAATTTATGAGTGCAAAAAGTGAAAGTGGAATTGTGCAATGAAAATTGGAATGGTATTGGATTATGTGATTTTAATTATGTTAATGTTGAAATGTTTTAATGGTTGTTTATGTTTTATCTGAATGATATTGCTGTATGGCATCAAAGTCTAAAGAGATTCTGATGGCTATGCCCAAAAAGCCACCCTCCTCACACACAAACCTTTTATATATATTTTTTCTTATGCAAGGCTGATGGAGTTATCCAATAAGTTCTAAGAAGACCACTGTATTAAGTGCTAGCTCATTGTCTAGCAGTCATTGTCATTAACTTCCAAGTGCAGAGGTGGAGATAGTCTGGACACATATGGTGGCATTAAGCAGTACTGGGAGCAATACATGTAACATGGTAGGTAGCATATGAGGACATCCCAGAGGTCCAAGAGCTAGGTCACTATAACTTATTCCCTCTGGGCTCGCACTTTTGGAAAAGTAGAAAAAATAAAGGAAATACAGAAGCCAAGAAAGGAAGCTCACTGGATGACCTGAGCCATGCCACATTCTCTAAATTTCAAAAGAAAGTAATGGCAAACCTCTGTTAAACAAGTATTACCAAGAAAAACCCATGATAGGCTCAATTTAGGTTCGCCAAATGTTGGAAACAAAAAAATAACAATGACAAAGATCCTGCTCGAAAATAACATCCACATCCATAGTTCTACACCATAGTAATCACAACCACTTCTAGAGTTCTCCTAAGAATCTGACCAAATAGCAATGTGTAAATAGATTTGCTTCCTCAATCCACTGAAAGCAGTAGGTCTGAGTGGTCAATTCCTGTTTCACATTTGCCAACGTGAAAGAGAACAGGCATTACATCTCCCCTGAAAAAGAGAGAACTGATTGGCAAGTACACTAGCTTTCACAATTCCTGAACTATGCTGACAAATTTCAGCAGTGAGCCACCAGTTTTCTCATCCTGCATCCTAAGAATTGATTCATTGGCAATGGACTTCCCAACTGCTTACAATATCATAGACTCATAGAGTTGAAAGCACTGTAAAGACCATCAAGACCATCCCAGCAAACAGGAATAAACAGTAAAAACATTCCTCAGGGATGGCCACCCAGGCTTTATTAGCTCAAAGTTTGCAGTCATCTCCAGATTTGACAAGTGTACCCTTTGTTCCATGATCCAAGACTTGTATAACAGAAACTGAACAAGATTAGGCACAGTACAGAACTTTGTTATTTCCTGCATAGCAGGGGGTTGGACTAGATGGTCCATGCGATCTCTTCCAACTCTATTATTCTATGATTCTACTTTTTCTGTCCTGGAACATGCTGTTCTTCCCTGTCCTAGAACATGATATTCTGGTCCTAGCAGTGCTCTATGTTCAGTTTTGACACTGGATTATCCTCTGTGACTTTTCATTATTTTCAGCCTGTATCCCTTCAACAATTTGGAGTACATGTAGTTTCCAGCCTTACACCTTCATTCACTCACCCCAACACACAATGACAAGAAGATCCTCTGAAGCCTTCAGTCAGAAACAAGAAAACATGTTTAGGAGCCAAATATGGAGGACTTTTTCGATCAAACTATTATTTGAATTGAGGATCAGATGGGGAAAAAAGTTTCCTCAACCTGAAATCCAACACATTTAATTTTAATTTGAATAGTATGAAGTCAAACAACAATTTATGGAAAATTTGTATTTTCCATACAATATTTCCCCTCCAGTGATACAACTTTTTCACAGCTCTGCACCTGAGAAATAAGACTTTCAAAAGAAGGTGAAGTTTATTTCCTAGTCACTATAATCACAAACAACCAAATCAGGCTGATTTGCAATTGAGTATGAGGAAAAATCATAATAGCATTTATCTCTTAAGGGAGCTCCATTCTAATTGTATTTTAGTTTTATTGTATTTTAGTGTACTATTTTAATATGTAATGACTTTACACTTTGTTGTTCTTATATATTACTGTACTTTCTTATATGCTGTAAACCGACCCGAGTCCCTCGTTGAGGTGAGAAGGCCGGTATAGAAAACTTCTAAATAATAATAATAGTAATAATAATAATAACATGATAATTGTACTAGATAATTGTACCCATAAATAATTTAGTTGTATATTAGTACACCCCCTCTTTATAGAAAGAATCAAAAGAAAGTGCTTTTCCTGAATGAGATGAAAGAACAACTTGTAAGTAAGTTAATAACCAAATATACAACTTTCTGGAACGTTTTGGAGTCACATATTCAAGCCTGCTTGAATGTTTGGTTTGTCATTAGAAACAGGTGTATCCCTAAACATTTCAATAATACAGTTCTTTAATATGTACTGAATTCCTTCATTGATGATATGAAATGTAACTAATTTCAGAAATGACAAAGCAAGAGGAATGTGCATGGTGTGTCCAGAAAACATAAATCAAGAACAGTGGAAAACAGAACAAAAAAGTTTCCTGTTGACTTGATAACTTTTGGAGGTTTCATCCACAATCTCTGCATAATTATCTTTACAACTTCCCATAGACAGTTTAACCATCTATCAAAAAGAGCAACTCTTTTGTAGGCCATACACACTTTCCATCATATATCTCAATATTATGCCAATTAACAATGCAATCACTATATTAAATTCTAAGGAGTACACTCTTTATTGAATATGTCATTGACTTGCCTTGTATTAACAGCATGCAGCATGTTAACAAGCAGTTTAGAACAAGAGTTATGCCAAAATAAACAGGAAAAATACCCTCTAAAATGAAAGTGTTAACAAAAAAACACTCTTAACTGGAACTGCTAACACAAGGCAACTAACAAAAAAAATCTGCAAAATAGTATTTAACTTAAAACTGTAATCTGACATCCTGGATAGGAAGCAGTATTTGAAGTAGCTAAATAACCTTTATGAACTCCAGAAACAAATCCGAACCTTCAACATAAAATTGGCTTTAGCTTTTTGTATTAAGAGGGTAACCAAGAAGACAAACTGAAAATCAGAACCATAAAACAAACAGGAGACAGCAGGAGTGTTTTTTTTCCCAAGCTAACAAAATATTGACGCCAAGTATGCCAAAGGTATATTTATTTTAGCATTCTTTAATGAGAAATGGTGCATAATATCAAAATTATGCTAGTTCTGACACATGTTAACATAAATAAATCAATACAATAGCCCCGCATTATGTAAAGAATCTGCTCCAAGACCCTTTGTGTTATATGACTTTGATATTTACACCTGGAACTCTTCCCCACAACCGACATGCCAATGAAAGCTTAAAATACTGTGCTGTACATAGTTAAAATATTCCCCCACGTCACCTGCTGCTCCATGGAGTGGAGAGTAGCTGAAAGGAAGACTTACATTTTGGGGTGGTGTTCGCCCACGCTGAGCTCCTGAAAGCAGACCCCTCCCCAGGTGCCAAATCTGGAGTTCAGTCCAGCTGTGCAGAGCCATATACCTCTCTTTGCCAAGAAAGGAGTCCATCTCTTTCCTCTGCAAAGAGAAGCAACAAAAGTCTGGCTCTGCTTTGTCCACCAATAAAGAAGTCAATCTCTTTCCTCTGCAGAGAGATATACGGCTACACTTTGTTCTGCACGAAAGGAGTCCATTTCTTTCTTCTCTGGAGAGAAGCAATAGAAGTTTGGCTGCACTTCTGTCCATTGAGAATGGAGTCTGTTTCCTTCCTTTGCAGTGAGAAGCAATAGAAATCCAGATGCACTTTTGTCCGCAGAAAATGGAGAGAAGTAATATTCGTCTGGCTGTCCTTTTCTCCATCAAGACAGGAGTTCATTTCCTTCTTCTGTGAAGAAAAGTGGCCAAAGCCTAGCTGCATTTCTCTCAGTATAGAAAACAGTCAATTTCTTTTCTTGGTGGACAGAAATACAGTCAGACTTCAGTCAATTCTTGCCACAGAGGAAAGACACAAGCTTCCTTGTAAGCAGAGAGAGTTACATTGACTCTTTTCTCAGCAAAGAGAAGTGTATGGATTGGCACTGCGGGCCACCCACCAGATTTTAGAACAGAGGAGGGGGCTGCTTTCAGGAGCTCATCACAAGCAACCTGGTCCCTCACTGCCCTTGCCTTCATATACAGAGGGGGATCTTCTGTATAACTAAAACTGCGTAATACGAACCTGCAAAATACATGAGTCTACTGTAAATTGCTTTGTCTGAGGAATGGCATGGTGTCAATTTCATACAGACTGGCTAACAGCAAGTGAACAGATTGCTTAACAAGTGGGTAAGTAGAAGGCACTTCTAATCATCCAAAGCAGAGCAACAAATTTTGTTAATATATATCCTAGTGAGAAAACACAATTCTTAGTTTTATATATTTTCATGAAAACATGCTACCAGTGAGTGAGTGGGGGATGGATGCTTTGTAAAATCAAGCCATCAGAAAAACAGCCCATTGAAGGTTACCAGAATTAGAAGCCTCATCTGTGAGTGTTATCTAAAATGTTACCGAACAAAGCACTAATGAAGAACATCCTACAGGGAGCACTCTGCATTGCTGGGGCCCTGAACTACAAGAAACCCTTTCCAGCTCTAATTTTCATGATTGTATGCCACTTAAGACCTGAAATCAGTGGAAGAGACATTTGAGACTCTGTTAGGTCAGAATAAAGCACTGTACCTTGGTAAGACAGTTTCTATTATTAGCCTAAAAGCAGGGAAAGCAATAATTAGGTTGTATTGCTCTCACAGACTGAGACAAGTGCTGACTTAGTGCTCCGTTTCTTTAAAGAGGAAAGGAAATGTATTAGGAGATTGAGGAAGTGAAGCAATTACTTTCATAAAATCCCTTTAAATCATTTTGTCTATCTTTTATACTAGGTTTGGCAATGGGATCAATTATTTTAAAAATGTTTGTTTGTAAGACCAGAATACAGAATGTGGATTATTAACCTCTTGTGACCCACAAATAATTATTACCTGTTTTCTGCAACAAAGAAGCACCTATCAGTGTATCTGTATGAACAGTAAACCATTATCTACTAGGTAGGTTAAATGACTGACTGGCAGAAAATATTTGGCACTTGAGACCTCATGTTTTCCTATGATGTAATGTACATGCTCACTGAAACCTGAGCTAACTGGAGTGAGACACTTGCCAAGTAACTCGATATTATATCATCTAAGAGCCAAGTGGCCAGAGAATTTCTCCTTAGGGGTGAATATAAGTAAAGATGCGAGACAGCAACAGTTGCTTAGATATCTGAATATCATTTTTTTAAGAGAAAACTACAGACACATATTCACATTCCAAGCCAAGACTGATCTAATTTTCCTAAGACAGGATTCACACATCCAAAATAAAAAAGGCTTGAAAAGCAACTGGCATGTGCCAGCTCCAACAAAAAATATGAGATTAGCTGAAGACTGTCCTTTTATCACATATTTCTAAGTGCTAAGGACACAATTATTCCTAATGTCCTAGTTTTATCTATTAACTTGTTGGAGGATGGGGAGAGTTGAACACATTCACCATTTAAAAAAAAATAAGGCATGTTTTGGCCTACATCTCCCAAAAATCCCAGCCAGTTTACCAGCTGTTAGGATTTCTGGGAGTTATTTTTTGTTTGTTTTTTTTAGAGACCTCATGGGCCATCCAGCCCAACCCCCTGCCAAGAAGCAAGAATATTGCATTCAAATCACCACTGACAGATGGCCATCCAGCCTCTGTTTAAAAGCTTCCAAAGAAGGAGCCTCCACCACACTCCGGGGCAGAGAGTTCCACAGCTGAACGGCTCTCACAGTCAGGAAGTTCTTCCTCAGGTTCAGATGGAATATCCTTTCTTGTAGTTTGAAGCCATTGTTTCACGTCCTAGTCTCCAGGGAGGCAGAAAACAAGCTTGCTCCCTCCTCCCTGTGGCTTCCTCTCACGTATTTATACATGGCTATCATATCTCCTCTCAGCCTTCTCTTCTTCAGGCTAAACATGCCCAGCTCCTTTAGCCACTCCGTTGAAGGTCAAAACATCTGGGGACCCATAGGTTGAGAATCACTGATCTAGACTGATACATGAGTATATAGGGTAAGCCTTTAAGGGAAGGATGGGCAAAGTTTAGCCTTCGAGATGTTGTTGATATGCAACTTCCATCATCTGTCACTACTGGCTGTGCCAGCTAGAGTTGGTGAGAGCTCAACTACAAGTACAATTTGAGGGTTGCATTTTGTCCAACTTTGCCGTAAGTCAACCTCCAAGACTTCCACAATAGCACTGACTCTGCTTGTCATTGGGACCATATGCTTTAAAATGGGTCTTAGAACACCATAGTTAAGCAGTCTTGGCAATAAACTATTCTTCCTCTCAGTAAGAAGGGAAGACTGGAAAAAGGAAGGCTCTTTTAGCTTATGGGTCTCTGAGACCCTGCATCAAAAATACCTGAAACATCCTATATTCCCACAGGAAGGTTTAATAGGCATGCCTTTGCTGTAGAAACATACTTTCCTGCCTGCCTTCAACCAGTGGAGAGGGAGACCAGCAAATATCTTTTAAACCAACTAGAACACATTTACATTTCTAACTAAACATAGTAGTTAGAATAATTATTCTGGGTAAAATAATACAAGTCTGGGCTTATGTATCAAACACTGTATTTCTTAAAAGTGTACTAAAAAAAGACTGTTGTTCCCCTGGTATCCTTTCTACAGCCAATCGGGTTTCTGTCTCTACAAAATGGAAAATCAGGTCTTTGTACATACAAAAATGTGCACCAATTTATTCTGTTTGACTGCCTCTTTGGGTTTCATTTCAGTAACATCAAGTATTTTCCTATATTCTGAAGCTTTTGTTTGCGGCATCCCATCACGCTATTTATGCTCACTTGTGTTGTGACAATGTTTAAACATCTCTCTGACACTTAAATCTGAGCACACACAAAGGGAGTATCAAAGCTAGGAGCTATTTGCACTGCCCAATGCAAAAAAGAAAAGAGCTTCTTTCTTGCCTTTTTAGTTTAGCTTTTTAGGTGAGCTTTAATATTGGCACAACAAAGCTGTTATTCAGCTCTATACAATGACAGCAGCCTCTTTCAATTCTGTATTCTCATCCCCAAAAAGAAGTAGTAACTTCCTTACATGAACAAATACAAAATGTGTGCGATTTTCTTTTTTCTTTTTCCTTTTGAAAGATACGAAAGATCATATTAAGGCAATTTATGGAAAACTCAGTTGTCCCCCCACACAAAACTATATTGTGATACCACCACAAATGAAACTATTCATGTTGCCAAAGTTAATAATTACCCAATTTGAAATACACATTTATCTAACTCAAAATACTTATATGTTTTAAAAATCAAGGAGCATTTCCTCCAAAAGTTCATTCCAGCTTAAACAGGCTTGTGTTTAGATCATCATCCTTATGCATGCACCAATGGATGATGTTCACCAAGAATATTGACTGAGCCAGTTCTCAAACTTAAATCCATCAATTCAGATAGCATCTACTGGATCCAAACTGTCTCCTATAAAGAGGAGAAAGGAAGAAGATGAGTATGCTACCAGCAGTCTTGAGATCTAAGAGATTAAACTGGTTAATGGATATTGAGAAGACTGGCTCAGAATTAAAAGCCACGAGGGAACAATAATATTAACGAGAAAATGTGAGGCATACTTATTATAAGACAAGGCTTAATGTGGGTGAAGACATGGTCATGCTTATAAATGTACAGGATAAATTGCACATTTTTTTTCTGTGTGAAGCATGACTATGTATAGCCATTAACCCATTAGACAAATAAGTCTTCCATCTTTTACCCTTTTACTAATTAGTCTACCACGCTGTTAGGTTGAGGAAGCATGACATTATACTACAACTTTTTAAGAAATGTAGAGGCTAGGCAAACACAATTCTTATTAGGAGAACTTTAGTCATGCTAATTTTCCAGTGATACTGAATATGAAGACCATGACTATAAGAGCAAAAGTTATGCCAGAAGAGAATTGGACACACATATAGACTATTTGAGCCTCTAAATATCTGAGGCAATTTTCGCTAGTTGTATAACACAGCTCATATTCATCATCTTGAGCAATGTAATTCTTTTTTGAACACAGGGGTTTCAAAGCAAAGCATCTGAACGCAGTCACCATACAACTCCATTGGTGCGTCTATAGTTCATTGTGAATTCTTGTGAAAAGAAAACTGATAAATCAAATGCAGTGAGCTGTATACCTTTAAATGCATATCCAGTATTTATTTCTCCTGTTTTTTGAACATGGGACCCAGGATGGCAAATCAAGCACAGAATCTATGCTCATAGAACAGATAGAAATTAAAAAGAGAAGAAAAATAGGAAACATGAGCATCCTTTGCTATACAACATGTACAGGCAGTCCCCAAGTTGCAAACATTCAACTTACAAATGACCCATAGTTAAGAATGGAGGTAGGACAACAGGAAGGAAGAGAAATCTACCCCTCGGAAGGCAAATTCACTCCTGGAATAGTTATCATGGGAAAAAGGTGTCACCACTGATGCTTTAT